AGGCTTAAAATTGTGGCTTAGATTATGTGATCATTACTTAGTTGCTCACAACAGACTATTATTAACTGACCACCAAAAAGGCTTTCCTAGAGCTCAAGTACTTCACTTTTGGCACATAAGGTCACAGATTAGGTCCTCAATAGCTGTCATACATATCTGAAGCCACAATAGCAAGGGACGTACACTAATTTTGGTAAAACACGTGAGATTCATCATACTAGAGAGAAAAGTTTTACTGCTAGAATTGATGTATGGGTTGGAACTTTGTGCTTTCTAAAAGCAAGTCCCAACCACAAGCACAATGTTTTAAAGGGCCTTATTTCAATCCTGACAAATGAGTACCAGATGTTTCTTTTATCGCACTTGCATTTTATATAGTCATTCAACATTTCAGGCTCATGTTAAGGTCTTAGAAACTCTCTCTCACCCACCTCTCACCCCATGAAAAAGGAGAAGCTGCAGGAGAGAACAAAATCAAGAATAAAATATAATAATTCTGATTAAATACAGCAAATAAATGAAGGAAGAACTGAAGTCTTTCCACAAGGAGAAAGAGAAGATAGGGTAAGAATAATGGCTGGGTTCAGTTATCAAGCACAGACGAACTGTTAGAAAATCTCTCATGAAGAACAATGCTTATTGCTTTTTTTCCTTTATTTTATTATTCCTTTCAAAACAATTGTGCCCTGAAAGGTTCCCTTTGACCTATAAATGCCATAAGCAGGAGATTAAAAGGCCTGTAATTACATCTAACCATTTTGGCTTCTCTGCAGGTGACAGTGGGGATAAGGTTGCTTCCATGGAGGAGGGACTCTAGCTTTTAGGATTTATTTGTTTAATTAACTGTTTTCTTTTCTTCTTTTCTTCCTAGAAGCAGCTGTTCATTCACTCCAATCTCACTGCCCACCTCATCCATTCTGAAAGAAAGTGCTTTTCACGCCAAGCTTGCGTCTGACCAGTACCCCACAAGGACACCTTGGGGTGGAACTGCACAGTGCCAGTCAGAGAAAGATTTGTTCCTCCAAGTGCTAAGTATTATTTTCATTCCTGTTAGGCTCAGTCTCTGGCAGTTTGGATTTTCTTTTCCTTTTTTGTCTGACCCAAGAACTTTTCACTGCTTGCTGACTGAATACATTGAAGGCTTGCTTTCTTGCTAGAGAAGCAATTTAATATTTAAGCGTAAGCTTAAAGCAATGTCAATAACACACTGAGTTAGAGCACATACCAAGAGGTTGAGAAAAGGGTTCCGTTCCTCAGTCTACCACCGACTAAATTTGTCACCTTGCTTCAGATTTCACCCATCTGTGAAATGGGATAATGATCCTTCCGTAACTCACAGGGCAAGAATGTCATTAATATTTGGACTTGGTTTCAGATTCTCAAAGAAGAGCTTTTCCATTATACCATTTGCCTGTTTGGGCCAGCGCTTAGACTAAAGATGTGAGTGTAATTTTGACTCTATATCCTATAAAATCTGATGGGTGGGTGTGGTGCCATCACCTGCAATATGCAGTGCCTTTATAATAGATGTTGTAAAAATAAGACAAGAGATTGATCTAAAGCAAAGCCTTGATTTGAACCTCAGTGAACTTCAGGAACATTTATACTTGACTCCACATCCCAGTTTAGCTGCTTGGGACCATCAAAGACAAACCTATCAGTGAAAAAGCACATGAAGTTGCAAGAAAAGGGAAGAAAAAGGACGGCAGCTGAAAAAGAAATAAGTGAGCAGAGCAAAACAAAGTAAAGCTGAAAATTTATCAAATCTGCATGCAAGCAACTGGACTCATTTCAAAAGTGGAACTGTAGACTGTATTAGGATCTGATTTTCTGTGGCTCTTGCTTTTGCCTCAACTACCCCGATGCTAATGGCACTACAATGCTGATGGGTGCATTATACATGCTTATACACTGTCTTTCAAGAAAAAGATATAGGTACTGTATGTAACTGTCTTCCTGGAACTTGACAGAGGGGACAGATATCTGAAATAAATGAGTAAACAGTGCAACTGCCGTTCCAATTCACTCCCAGGAACACAGTCACTTAACAGTTTCCTAGAGGCACATCAGGCAACACAAGCAGAGGATTCTTTGCTGCTGCCACAACTGTTCAGACTCCCCAGACACGGAAGGATGCGGAATGATTAATGTTTCATCGTGAATGCCAACCCATTGCTACTGGAAAGAGATGGAGATTATCTTGATGCTGCTGCCCCACAACGGGCAGATGGTATAAACCTGCATACACACTCCAAGCTCTCTGAGAAGCCACTCTTTGTTTCTGCAGCACTTGTGGATTTCTGTGACTGATCGTACACTGAACCCTAAGATGGAAAATCAAACCCAATATTGATGGATGAGCCCTGAAAGGGACCTATAATTGAATCCAGCCCTCTGCAGGCACAGTTACGTTACACAGTCCCTTTCCTGAACTGACAAGGTCGTTCCATCTTGATAACCACAAGAATACATATTCATGTATTACACACTTTGGCACATACCACACATAACTTCAAATACCATTATAATTTTCCTTGAACCCATGAGTAAATGAATTATTTAGTGTGGAGGGGGGAGAGGAGTTGACATGTCTGACAACATTTGAGTGCTGTAGTGTTCATGTACCTGCAGAGCTGAAGCTCCTGGTTAATTATCTAGCCTTACTGTTTTATGGAGGTTCATGTGTCTTCAAGACCTTAATAAATCAAGGCTTACTTGCCATTCATCTTCCTTGTGAAGCTGGGCAGGTGTTGAACTGTGAATGCTGATCTGAATAGTGGCTGCAATGTGGCCACAATAGCCTATTATTTTTGAATCTAAGTATTTTGCTCCCGGTTTGTTCTCTGCAGCTGAGCTTCAGGCTGGGAAGTGCATTTTGCAATGTTTATACAGCACCTCAAAGTCTTGACCTAATTCACTCCTATGTGTTAGCACAATATCATGGTGATCAGAATGTTTTTAAACACATCAGGTTTTCCCTTGTAACATTTTCTAAAAAAATGGCATTTAAACACATACACACTCATAAAGCATTATTCCGATTAGTGCTGAACTATCCATATAGATATAAAGCATGCTAGTGCTCCAGAACAAGGACAAACATATAGAAAAAAGCTCTCAGTTATCATTCCAAGGAGGCAGTTTATCTATACATCAAGTATGTGGCACCCTTTTCTTCAGGTTATCCTCTTGATGCACCAAAGCAGCATCTAATCAACTTTCACTCTAACAAGTACAGATTTGTGGCATAAGGGATGTAGGAAATAACCCACAATCTCACTCTGCACTCACAGGAGAACAATAACAATCTTTTCTCATAAAGGTCTAAGGTGTTCCAGGTACAAAGTAAATACTAGTGCATAGGAGAACTTTCCATGATGTGAAAATTCTGGAGAGATTAGAAACACTTTTTCTGTCAAATGTTGTATTACAGTTCTGCAGTACTCTATACAGAATTGCAAAACCAAATCCTGCTCATTTGAACATAAGGCGAAACTACAAATTTAAATGGAAGAATTCTTTGGAGAATCCTGGTAAGAAATAGAAACATAATTTCTCTCACTTCTAGAAAATGCTTACCATGGCATCATTACTAACAAGAAAACGAGCATTTCTGAAATCCAATATATTAAAGCAGTATGCCTTAAAATCCTCTCAAAGCTCAATCTCAATAATGAGAGAACTAAGGATTCTGTAATTATATGTAAGAGTTTTACCCAGATTTTCATTCTTGACTGTAGAACTGTGTTAAGACACATTCAGAATTCCTGTTTTTGTTGTTACTTTGCTTACTCAGACAAGCTCTATTAATCTCAAAGAGCTTTGCGTACACATAAAGACTGATTAAAAGCTGTGAAAGGCCACTGATCCTTTGTCTTTAATTTTAAACCTCAGGGAATCTGATTTATTCTCCTGAACTTTAATTCTGACATTTTTTTCCCATTTCTAACTCAAGCAGAGGCAGCAACTTGAAAAAAACTCAGCTTCCAAAAAAGTCATACCTTTTTTTTTCTGAAACGGATGATTAGTAGGGAAATTTCCTCTCACTCCAATGAAATTAAAGTAGCCTTCTGTGCTGCGGTGAGAGAAATGGGCAGTACTGCTCAACTGTTACTGCAACTCCAGGATCCTGGGAGCTGGCTGTTTATAAAGTGACCCAACGGCCCAGGGTAAGAAGTGAATTTTGTGCTCGGTCTCCCCTGACGGGTTGGCATTCCTCCTCCAAATCTTTGACAGAAGGCGGCCAGCTCCAATTTTCAGTCAGGGCCTTTCAGCACTGCTGAGACGGCAGACTTGAATGCACTCCTCAGTCCCTCATGTTTCCCACAGTTTACATCACTAGTAAACTACACATCGCACCACCGAAGGGTATCGCTATTACTTGTATCATCGATAGAATAGGCTGACTGCTTCTGGACAGCTACAACCGCTGCCGCCAGAGGGGCTCCTCAGGGCGGCCCGCGAAGGCCTGGGGGAATCCAGCCCGCTGCCTTCGGCCCTGCGGCGGACCTGAGGACCTGAGGACGCTGCCGACGGCGGGCGGCGGGCCGTTGCTCCCGCCGGTGGGCTGGGCGCGCAGCCGTTAGAGCCGTTAGCGCCGTTAGGGCGAACGGAGCCGCCTTGGCCACGCGGCGGCGGGAAAGAGCGCGAACCCGGAGTCCTCCAAGGGCTGAGGGGAAGGGGGCGGCGCTCTCGCCGCGCTCTCGGTGGTGGGTGACGTCATTACGCTGCGACGGCGGCTGTGGTGGCGGCGGGCTGGCGGTGGGCACAAAGCTGCGGACCGTTCCGTTCTGTCCCGTACCGTGAGGGAAGACGAAGGCGGCCGCGGGCCGAGGGTAGGCCGCGGCGGGGGTGCTGGGCCCGTGCGTGGCGGGTGCTTTTCGCCGTGCGAGGGAAGGGCGAGAAAAAGGCGGGGTTTCCCTCAGGCCTTGCTCCGGTGCCTGCTTCCCGAGCGGTGTTTCTGAGGCAGAGGCTTATTGCTGAGCCTAATGGGTTTTCTCCTTCCAGAGCATTCCTGTTAAGGTTGCTTTCATAAAGACATGACCACACAGGTAAGTAGAAACACAGCGTTAATTAAACTCATTGCTAGCTTGATATTTCTTTTTAGGCTGCTCATACGTAATATTAATTATTTTTTCTTTCCAGTACGGTATTCTCTTCAAGCAAGAGCAAGGTGAGAAATCACTAACACGTATTAAATAATACCACCTTCCTTGGATGATGTAGAATTGATAATGGCATATATACTTGGGAGATGACCTGGATTGTGATTATATTAAGTATAAACCTGAGTAACTCAAAAATAGTTGTGCTGTTTTTTCAACAGTGACCTTAATGAACAAAATACATCGCGTGTTTTGAAACAATAAAAACAGTGGCAGGAGAGCAAAGGGTCTATTGCCAACATTACAATCAGCAGTTTTAGCGTTACCAAAACTGGTAGTTGTCTTCCATCAAAAGAAACCACTTAATTTTTAATTTCTATGCTTATATTCTCTTTTAGCTCATGATGATGCCATTTGGTCAGTTGCCTGGGGAAAAAGTAAAAAAGATGGTTCTGAAACAGTGATCTCTGGTTCTTTGGATGACCTAGTGAAGGTCTGGAAGTGGTAAGTGCTCCATATTAACCAGTTTTAAGCCTTGGAAGTAGTATGGAGATTGAATTTCCGTAATCTACAGGGATGTTAGAAGTCACAGCAGGGAAGGGGTAGCCTGGCACACAGAACTGTTCTCTCTCTCTTCGTTGGTTTTTTCTCTTGTAACAGTAGCATTCTGATGTGCTTTAATTGACACGAGTAGCTCAGTTGTGGTAATTATAAAAACGTTGGTCATTATGTTCCATGCTTTGCTGACAGCTTAACAGTCTGCTGTGTAACTGCCCGTGTATAGGTGTGCAATTGAAATTTCAGTGGGACTGCTTACAAACTTAAGATGAAGTACATGTTTTGCAGAAATATAGTAAACGATTGATTTGCCGGTTCTGTCCCTTAAGCACAGAAAGCAATTTGTGCGTAGCTGTCTTCATGTTTCATGGCTGAAGTTTGATTCCCCTTTTGTTGAACAAAATGAAGAAGTGTGGGTTATCTTGTTTGTTGGTTTTGTCGGAGGTTGGAGATTGGTTCAGTACGCCCAGCTATTCATAACTAGGCTTTTCTTTCCCTTGAACAAAAGGAATGACGAAAAGTTGGATCTGCAGTGGACTTTGGAGGGTCACCAGCTGGGCGTGGTGTCTGTGGATATCAGCCACACAGGCTCCATTGCAGCATCTAGCTCCCTCGATGCCCATATTCGCCTCTGGGATTTAGAAACTGGCAAACAGATCAAGTCAATAGATGCTGGCCCTGGTAAGATACCTGTGTTTATCTGTCTCTGCATAAGAAGTGTACTTTAGATAGTAAATTCTGTGCAATGGATAATTAGGGTATATGAGATAACTAAATTGCTGTGGTATTTTTTTAAATCTTTGTTTGCAAAAAATCTTAAGTGATTTTTATGAATTCAAAGTAGTATCAGACAATTTTACATTTATTTTTTCACACTACTCACACTTTCTTGGAGACATTTAGATATGCTTTTTGTTAGATATATAAAGCAGAATGGAAACCAGTTTGCTCTTACAGATGTATTGATAAAGGGATATTTAAAAAGATAATTCAAATGCTTATTCAAATTGGTTTACAAGGAAGGTCTGAGCTTTCTTTGCAAGCACTGCACTGAATTTGAGATATTTATGTGATGCTTATTTATCCAAGTCTGAGGGAGCAAGTCAAAACACAGTAAAGCTGAAGTCTGGATCAATGTTGCACCTTGCAAGTTGGAATTCAGGGCCTAAGATCTTATTCTAAATATTTCATTGGTCCACCAGCAATCCCTAATTTAAGAACAACCTTGCACTATTTTAGATAATTAATATTAAGCTTATAGAAAAAAACTGAATTATATTGTGCCAAATAAATATATTGTACTGCTATAAAAAGGTGGTTGTTTTTTGTTTGGTTTCTTTTTCCAAATTTTGTTGCAAGGAATGTTGATCTATGTTACATTCATATATCTGCATTTCTCCTGCATCTTCTGTGCTTTGCTAGATACTGGTGTTGCTTTCTTTTACTGGTTTAATATCTTTTGGTACCAGGAGAAAAGTAAGAATTTAGAGTTAACTCATGCAGTCTTAAACTCTGGTTTTATTGTTACAGGAGGGTCTAATAAGCTGAAGGTCTTCTTACAAAGTACAGTCTTTCACTAAACAGAAATAAATGGCTCAAGCTATGCTCCGTGAATTACATAGAAGGAAGTTAACTTTCATGAGCTTGTAAACTCTTCTTAAGACTATATAGTAGAGTTTAGAGTATTAAGAGTAATAAGGGAGCTAAATGTCTAAACAGATGCATACAGAACTGACATTGTTGAGTAAGAACTAGAAATGGTATTTAGTTAACTGATATTTTTTCTTTTTAATACAGTTGATGCTTGGTCCTTGGCTTTTTCACCTGATTCCCAGTACCTTGCAACAGGAAGTCACGTGGGAAAAGTAAACATTTTTGGTGTTGAAACTGGAAAGAAAGAATATTCTTTGGACACCAGAGGAAAGTTCATCCTTAGCATTGCATATGTAAGAAGCACAATTGATCATTTCCTATGTGAAACTGCTATTGCTGTAATACGTCGTAAATCGTATAGTTTTGTTTCCATCCATCAGTTTCTCTCTACATAATACTAAATCACAGCCATACTTTGATAGTTTCAAATATAAACTGTGTGACATTCCCACCCTGCATATATGAAAAACTTACTTGGATCTTGCTTATTCGCATGTTGTGAATAAGTCAGCTGGAGTCTTCAGGATTTTTGGAGTCCAGGTATCTTACATAGATGGTACTTGTGACAAGTTGCCAATAGAATGTCAGGGAGGTACACAGCATAAACACATACAGTTGTTAAATGCGTACTTCTTGTGTTTTATTACAGAGTCCAGATGGAAAATACTTAGCCAGTGGAGCGATAGATGGCATTATCAATATTTTTGATATTGCAACTGGAAAACTTCTGCATACGTTAGAAGGTAATGGTTTTTGAATGGCTTCATTCCTCAACAAAATTAAAGTATGTAATGCAAGTCAGAATAAGATTCAACAGCCATGGCATAGATGAGTTGATGTTTCTGTCCATTAGACAGTATTTAGTTATTTTGTGTGCTGTAACTTAAACCACTTAAAATACTAGAGGCAAACTGGAAACTCAGGCTTGTATTGTAAATGCCTATCTCAAAGGATATAGTCAGTCATGCTTAACTAAATTCTTAAATTGCAGCTCCTTCTTGTACCGCAGTGCAGTACAAGGGAATGAAGCTATGCCAAATGTGTGCTGCCACATGTATGACTTTTCTTTTTGCTGTGGTATTAGTTTTATAGCCATTTATTCCTGTTTTAAAAAATAACCAAACATTTTATGTTGTAGAAGATGTGCATTTTTCTAACAGATAAATGGGCTTTTAATGTCCATGCAGTTTCTGTCCAATTGTATAATTAAAAAGCCCACTTACTTTGTAATAGGATTTCATATTATTTTGTGACATACTTTCTAATAAAGTCATATTAGAAAATATGTCATATTAAAAGATATGACCTACTTTCTAATAAAGATCCACAGCTGAAATAATAAGATATTTTTGTGTTGCTGTGGATATGCCTTAATATTCAACGTTCAGAATTACTCTCGGTTACCATTTCATGTTGTGCGAAGAAGCCTGTAGAGGCGTAGAGAGAAAGGCTCTGCAGAGGTTGCCCTCTTTTAACAGGGAATGTTAAACCATGCTGTTCTGGTGTAGCTTCTTAAGCACTGTCATTAGTAAGAGGAATAGCTACAATCTAAGCCATATACAACTTTGAATTTCAGGTCACGCGATGCCTATTCGGTCACTGACGTTTTCTCCAGATTCTCAGTTACTTGTAACTGCTTCAGATGACGGCTATATCAAAATTTACGATGTGTAAGTTCTTATTTTGCAAGACATGCTAACAGGAAAATAACTATTCAGAGAGGCTGATACTGCAAGAAATCTATCAAGCTGTCTGCTGTCTATAATTCCCTTCAGCTTTTGCTGACTTGTTTATGTAATAAATAATAATAAAATACTACACCCTTAGTTTTTAAAAAATGTATAGGTAGATGACAGCCTTAACTTGAAAAGAAATTACTTTCCTTATATTTGTCCAGGTTGATTGTTTTGTATGTCTGTCCTGTGTGTTTGTGTTTACCCATGTTAAACATCTGTTCTGTTCCCAAGAAATGATATTTATGACCTATTTGTGTTGCGTTGTGCAAAAACTTGGCAGACCCTGGGGAGGAAAAAGCATGGCTTCAGTGATCTTCACTCCCCTAAACCTGCATTACTTTGCCTTCTTCATGGTGAAACTGTTTTGTCCACCAATGTTTCTTCTTAGTGACTTCTTTGCATGTTAACCATTTGAAATGGAAAAGCAGAATCTGTTGTAACACCAGTTCAGCCAGATGAACAGATGTCCAGAAGTCACCTTCCACAACCTTGAGTTCCTGACTGCACTAGCTAGAGTATATTCCTGTTGCTTCTTCCCTGGAATTCACAAACCAAATATTAAAATTCTATGTTTTCTAAAATTTGTTCTTTCCACAGGCAACACGCAAACTTGGCTGGTACATTAAGTGGTCATGGATCCTGGGTATTAAATGTAGCGTTTTGTCCTGATGATACCCATTTTGTTTCCAGGTATTGAGGATTTTTAACTTGTTTATGCTTACTGGGAAAAAAAATGATTCTAAAGGGAAATGGATCATAAAAAGTGAACGTGTACAAATTGCAGTGGAATCTATAATGGATTAACGTACGTTACAGTTAAAGACTCAAGAGCCAGTCTGTGATGTGAGACCAGTAGCAGTGAATAGTATTTTATAGTGTAGGTCATCCCACTGCAAGTGGAGAACAGTTCCCTACAAGTGAAGGACACGTAAGAGAAGGGCAATTTGATTCTAAATAGTTGAAAAATTGCTGTTGAATTTAAAAGTGCAGCATAATGTTGTATGGCCAGGCTGGATGTGGCCTTGGGCAACCTGGTCTAGTGGGAGGTGTCCCTGCCTATGGCAGGGGGGTTGGAACTCGATGATCTTCAAGGTCTCTTCTAACCTAAACCATTCTATGAATGTAGTAGTATGTTAATCTAGTTGAACTTTGGTGTTAACTCTTAAAACAGCTCAGGCAGTTGGGAACCCAGAATATGTAATAGTTCCTTTATCCAGAGAACTTAGTTTTAAGAATTTTCTGGCTAAAGCAGGACTCCTCATTTTCATGTTGCAGATATTGAAACAGAACATGTATTTTAAAGGTAACTGCACTCCTTTGTTACTTTGTATCTCTATTTGATGGGTGAAAGCGGGTTTCTTATGTCTACTGTATGAGATCTTTCAAGCTTTGCACTAAACTGTAGTTCATCTATTAATTTAAACATTGATCAGTAGTATTTTTCTTTCAGTTCATCTGATAAAAGCGTAAAAGTTTGGGATGCTGGGACGAGAACCTGTGTTCACACTTTCTTTGACCACCAAGATCAGGTGTGTGTATTATTGCTTTACCTAGGTCATTGTGCTCACAGGAGAGCTTTACTTGTGTAGTTGTGCATGTTTGTGCTTCAAATTGCTGCTATAGCTTCGGGGTTGGACTTGCTGTACTGAAGTCTTAAAAGTTGTTCATAATTACTTGGCACTTAATATTGAACTAATGTTCCAAGCATGTAGGTTGATCTCTTCCAAGTAATTAGTTTTCTCAGGTCCAAATAAGGGCAATCCTGAGTGGGCAAAAGGATTCTTTCCAGAGTGTATTTTCTATCTTTGTCTATGGTCTTATTTATTGTTCTATCTTACACAGTGTGTGCCTGTGTAAGTGAGGAAAATATTTAAAAGGATGGAATTATCTAAGAAGATACTTGAAAGCAGCCTTGAAACCTTTTTTTGGACCCTTGAGGGAAGTTAGGTACTTACCAAGTTACTCTTTTTCCAAATGTTAGGTGTTAAATGGAACAATGCTATTTTTATAATGGATCATGAAGGGAGACTTAACCAAGGAAATTCTTTCAGAATTTACTTAGGCTCTTACCCAGTACTTTTTTGCTGGTAACCTTTTCAGTTATCTACAGCTGTGGGGGTTTTACTACTGAAATACCAAACAATTGGATTTCCACTGTTGTTTTAGCTGTTGGTTACAATCTCGTAAGTTGGTGGAAGGCAGTATCGTCTCGTTGGAAGGCTGTTTTTTAGGTATTAATGCAAAATGGTGTGCAAGATACCCCAAAATGTGCTGTTGTCAATATAGCCATTTTGCAGTCTCACACTAATGATGTACTAGGTAGCCTTTGCTTTTCCTGATGTCATCCTGATGATGGAGGTGGGGGTGACGTAATAGTTTGTGTAAGTGTCCCAAGCTTAAGTTAGAGGACGGAGCTGAACTTTTTCTAAGGTCTGCACTGGTAAGTAAGTAGCTCCCTTAATTAGCCCAAGGATAAACTGGATCACTCTCCATTTTCTCACAATGGGTCAGTCTGCGTGAAAAATACTTGCTCTCTTGCTTTCTTGAAAGCACTGTAAAATACACTTTTCAGAAAAGACTGGATGGGCAAGAGTGAAAATGTTAGGTTTGATTTACGCAAACTGGGGCAAGTACTTTTCAGTCTTTTTCAAGCACCTTTAGATTGTGTAATCCATTGTCAGTAGAAGAGGAATGTTAAGAATTTGTCAGGCTACTAGATGGCAGTGTCTGGTTCATCCACCTCATCTGCTGTTAAAGCAGGAGCCATAATTGGACCAGCTCGAATAAGGTGATCTTAATAATAGTCCCTCCTCTGCTTGTTGTAGTCAATAAATGTGACTGCGGTGAAGGCATTTTTTCTTGGTCTCCTGTGAATAACCTTGTGTATGTTCTAATTGCAGGTTTGGGGAGTGAAATACAATGGAAGTGGGTCCAAAATTGTATCTGTTGGAGATGACCAAGAAATTCATATTTATGACTGTCCCGTTTAAACATCATGACTTGAACCCTTTGGTTAACTCTTTTCGGCAGTTTTTAGGAAAACTACTGGCCTATGTAATTTTTTTTAGTACAATAAAAGCATTTTAGTAATGGTGATCTGCACAGTCAGATATGTTTATATGTAATTTTGATTTTGTTTAGCATGAGAAAGCTTTACTTTTTTTAAAATAAAAGCTACAGATGCAAGCAACTTGTGGCTAATCCTTGGAAGAATGTATTTTTGGAAATATGTAGTCATGGGTGAAGTAACTGCAGTTAATCTCCACTGCCTTTATACATAAATAGAGTGAAGCTGGGAAGCATTGACTGAGTCTAACAGCAGCTTATTTTAGGAAAAGGAGGAGTGACTGAGGCTATGTGTTGCATGCATGGGAAACAAGAGCCTGTGCTCATCTTCATGTTGTCCCAGTGAGTGCAATAGGGTCACTCAAGTTGAACACCTGTTCCAGCAATTGTATGGTGACATGTAGCTCATTCACCATGGTTTAATTTCACTAAAGGGTGCTAGTTGTTTCTAACTGTGACTTAATACAAACTCTGCTAGAGAACAGGTAAAAGGAAAAAAGCTTTAATGTCATCATTCTCTTATGGTATCCTCTCAAGGCATAAAACAGCAGCAGTATACCCCACACGTGGTTTTGGTTTATTTACCTTAGTTAAGGCTCAAGTACACAACACTTAGAAGGAAGTAAAAACCCTTTCTCGGGAAGGCTGAAATAGAGATCTTGAGCTTCTGAAAGATCAAAATTCTATGTATTCTATTGGCATGTATGTGGGCTACACTCTATACACAGTAGAAGGACACCTTATAACTGTAAGTTACATAGAGCTAAGGAATGCTACTACAAAAAAAGAAAACGAGGAAGAGTGTTATTATGTAAGAAGTAGGGGCATGCACAAAATGCTTTTGAAGTACAAAAAGGAGTACAGGTACTAGTGTTGCAGCTAACAAAAAGCTGAACACAGAACAATCTAGACTAGGAGATAGAGAAGTCTGAGCTTCGAGGAAATTTTAAGTTAAAGGGATGTCTAGAGTGGCTCAGAAAGTACAAGAGAAGCATGATAAAGTGTGAAGAGTTCTATTTATTAGAAGTTCTTTCTGCTAGGTTTTATTCTATGAAATTAATTTTCCAGTATGAAAGTATTTACATAAGACACTCCACTTAGCCTCTATCAATATTGCCAAAGTCTTATATAAATAGCATAGGTGAAATAAATTGAGAACCTTCACAGCAAAGGAAAATGTATACCAACTCAGTTGGTTCTCAGCTGTGTGACATTTGCTTTATATATAAAGACTACGAGAACACAATATAAATTAGTTACAAAAAGGTGATACTGACAGCGCAGCAACTCAATTTGCTGAACACAAAAACCACAAGCAGTGGCTATTACAGCCATGCAGTTTTCATTGTGAAAATTTACATTGTATAGGGCATCTATTCCACCTTGCTTTAAGATGTCTGACATTGTACTCCCGTTCTTGGACCTTCCTCATCTTCTTCATATGCTTCTCCCCCACTGTTACGGTAGGTTTGCTCACTTGGATCAAAATCTTCAAGGTCTACTTGATCCATCTCATCTGTAATCATAACATCTTCTCGTGGAGGAAGGAGAGCCTCCAGCAGACACAGTTTCTCCCTTGGCAGCCAGTAGTGCTCTGGGAACTGGACCTACAATTTTATATTTTTGTTTTAATGAATAGTTACTCCTGATACCAACACAGCTATCTTCGCTACAGAAAAGCGGTCAACTTACCAAAAATTGTATAATTAAACTGCCTTTGTCCATCGGAGATTTGTAGATAGGCATCCCTTCATTGCAGATACACTTTAGGTCACCATGTTTTATCACTTCACCTACACGGAGGGAAGAGCTGTAATAAGCTGATGTGACAGACGTTTCATTGCCATGAATGGCAGGCTTATACCCACGCAGTCTTCCCGCAGCACCTGAGGGAGACTACTAGGCAACTCAGAAAAGGCTGCAGACTGCAAGTACTAAAACCCAAGCTATACAGAAGGCAGGCCTTTTAGGCCATTTCCTCTAATGTAAGGGAATCGGCTTCTCTCAGCACAGCCTTCAGGCTGAATTAACAGACAATCTAGTAGAGTTTCAGTGGAGTATTTTCCCGACTATCCACCAAGGCTGAAGTTTGTTACGAAGCATTTGACAGCATTAGCTGTAATTCTGCATGTGATGTTTTAGGAGTGACAAGAATGACAAAAAACCCAACTAAATTAAACAACTGCAAGCGTAGTTTGAATCTGTTGCATCAACTGGTTAAAAAGACCCAAACCAAACCCCCAAAAGACCCCCAGTCCCGGCACAGTGAAACAAGCAAGCAGCTTATATAGCATCACAACTCTTAAGACATACCTGGCCTAGATGATATGACAAGAACTCTGTTATCCAGAGTTTCAATGGTCTTTCTGAAACCACATAATGCCTCCGAGAGTTGAATTCTCATTTTTGTGATTAAGTCATGCCCTCGCCTCTGAAAGACACTGTGATCCTTTTGATCAAGCACAATTATAACATCACCAGGCTCCAGATCAGGCTCCTGGTCACCTTCTCCATGAAACACTATCTTCTGACCGTCTTTCATACCTGCAGAAAAGAAAACCATTTATTCTCTGCAGAGTTACAGGCTATAAACAGGGACACAGAACAAATATACAGTTCTTACCTTTATCAACATGAACTTCTATGATCTTTTTCTCTCTTACAACCTTACAGCCATTGCAGTTGTCACACCTGTCCTTCGGATTTATTCTTTCACCTTGGCCTTTGCATTCTGGACACACAGTTTGGATTTGTTGTACCATGCCAGGTCCAATCTGCTGAACTATAACTTGCATTCCTCTTCCTTTACACACAGGGCACTTTTCTACTGCCCCTCTCTTTCCGCCATAACCTTTGACAAAAGAAGTTAAATCTGATCTCAGTCTCAAAAAAGGTAATAGTTACTCTACAGTAGCCAGGCTGGAAGTCATTGACTTCAAGAGCATCTTTAGGGCAACTTAGAGTAGTTCAGTAATGTGTTTCCAATGTAACTGGAATTTGGTTTCTATCACAAAACATGCCCCAGAAGTTAGAAGTTTCCATAAGCAAAAGAAAGTCAAGTTTTCTATGCACAGCTTATTTTATTAGCTTCTGCCCCACCTCCCAATACATCTTGGTTTTCAAGGAACTATCAGCATACTGACTTCAAAACCCAGACATTCCATTAATACTTGGGAAAGAATCTGCTTGCTAAATATTTAACAGAGCACTAAGATACAAGACCTCATTAAGATTTACCTCAAAGACGACCAGTCATTATGGATACTTAATAGCTGCAAAATGCGTTGCGTAATACAAGCTATACTTCTACCCACAGCAATTAAAAAGAAAAGTTTAAAAAAACAGCCATTTAAGTTCCAGATTAAGATACTTTTAATTTAGGTACCCTTAACTATAATTTGCAGTGAGTTTAAGTCTGCCATTAGAACAGTAACTTTATACCACTATGTTTAAGAGAGTCTTGTTCTTAGATAAGCATAAATAATAAAATTAAAAATCCCCCCCCTGTTATTCCCAGCCCCCCTCCCAATGTGCTTGCTGAAAAAAAAAAAAAAACAAAACCCAAACAAAACGCTTGGAGTAAGAGGGGTCTGAAACCACTAATTTTTTTACCTTCACACTTTCCACAAATAACATTTTTTTGCAGTGCCAGTTTCCTTGTAATACCATTATATAAGTCTTCAAGAGATACACCTAACTGGTGCACAACATTTTTGCCTTAAAAAAAAAAAAGAGAAAAATTAATTCTGGTTCAGCTTTATAAGGACAAATGTTCATTTAAAGGCTTCTACACTTGTTCATACATGCACAGTCTCACTGAAGAAACGTAAAGTTCATTCCAAACTTTGAACACAGCTCCATCCCCCTTAAAAGCATGTGCAGTTCCATCAGCTTCCACTGAGCTGCACCCACTTATGTCAGTACATAAAGTTTAGCTGTAATTAAGCAAAGCATCATTAAAGCCACCCTATCCCTGCTCCTACCCCTAATTTTATAAGCTAAACTGAAACAGCAAGATGCAAGGACACTACCAGCTTCAGATCTAGTCAATTTAGAAGTTGCTATTATGCGTACCTATAAATTTCCATGCCACTTCATAGCATAATTTCAAAGATCTTACAGCAAGTTACTACTTGCTCCTTCAACAGACATTAGGCATGGAAAATGACAAAAATCATACCGTGCTTTTGGTAGCACTCTGTACTCAGTTTCACATAATTTCGCCCAAATATTTTCATAAGATTTAACATTACTAAAGTTTAAGTTGATGGTGTCCTTTGAAGCAAGTTGCCCAAAGCATATGAGCAAGTGAGGCACAGATCTGGAAAACAGGTAACTTAAACCAGGTCTAATTCAACTGCTGTAACCTACCAATGTTTCCCCCTCCCCTACATTACCCACACCCACTTTAACAAAAGATAAACAGAACTCATCGGAAAGATTGCTATGGCTACGTCACATTATCTACTATAGTAGAATCTTAATGCCAGAGTAACTAAAAAAAAATAAATAAATAATCATAGTTTACTTGATCTATTGTTGCAATGAGTAATAACCACACTATGTGCACTTAGCAGAACAGCACTACCATAGCACAGGTGTTTTATGCTTAAGTGCATGGTTAGAGTTTCTAGAACTTGTTTAGAACTGTGTACCTCTTCTCTCTCTATTCATTCGGCCTCCACCACCAAAGAACATGTCAAAGATGTCCATGGGTGAAGAGAAGCTGCCGCCACTCAGGCCTCCTTCTTTAATAGCCTGCTCCCCACCCTGGTCATAGAGGTCCCTTTTCTTTGGGTCCGACAGAACTTCATATGCCTGGGATATGAGTTTAAACTAAAAAGAAAGAAGAAGCTCTGAACAACTATGACCAAGAGGAAAAGTAACCCTCTCATATGCAACTCCATCTTCAGATTGAGCCACAATAGCTCTCTCATAGCATTCGACTGTTTCCAAAAGGAAACTCCCTAAACAAATGTGTAACAGACTAAAATAGTACAATTTTGTGCAAGAAAACCACCCCTTTTCTCCCTCTCCCCCCACCTCCCACATTACAAGTGGGCTTAATTCAGAGTCACATCCAACTTACAAGCATACACAAACTACGCTTTGATGATTAT